CACCCGGATGCTGTACTCTCAGCCATGGCCCGAAGCAGGTTTCCTCAAACAATTATCTTTGAGCAGGTGAAAGCTTCTTTGCAATTGTAGTGGCCAGGCTGACTTTATTTCTCAAGGTCAATTGAGCCGAAAAAAATTTCTACAAAAACAATAAACATACCAAGTTAGATATACCAAAAACTACACTGTGAAGATATACCAAAACAATAAACATAAAAAGTAGTAGTTTATTCTTGAAACTAAAATTTGCAACACTGTTTTGTCTTTTGGTTGAAATGAAAATCGCAACGAGAGAATCGCAACGCGAGATGACAATCGCAACGAGAGAATCGCAACGCGAAATGACAATCGCAACGAGAGAATCGCAACGCGAAATGAAAATCGCAATGCGATTTTGGTTTCGCGTTGCGATTCTCTCGTTGCGATTTTCATTTCGCGTTGCGATTCTCTCGTTGCGATTGTCATTTCTCTCGTTGCGACAGTCATTCTCTCGTTGCGATTTTCATTTATCTCGTTGCGACTCTTCTGCAAATTGAAACTTGAATGGATTGCATTACTTCAACCAAAAGACAGAACAAAGACAAAGACAAATACTAACTTGAAAATCGGAACGAGAGAATAGCAACGCGAAATGAAAATCGCAACGACAGAATCGTAACGCGAAATGAAATCTAAGTGAAATGGTTAATCTATTATTGAAATGACCAGTAAACTTATCATCAGTTTCAATATGAAAAACCTACAATAATGCAAACATTTCAAAATAAAATAATTAAAAAAACTAACCCTCGGAGGTTGATTTTCCATTTCTGAATATTGTGAGGGATTTCTGACCGTGAATGGTTGTGAGGGATTTCGCCGGAGATGGGGACGGAAATCTTCGGAGATGGGGACGGATTTCTTCGCCGTAGAGAGTGAGAGATGGAGATGGGACTGAGTTGTGATTTTAGGTTTTAGGTTATGAGTTGCGATTACGGGATTTTGTCTTAATATTCTTTTTGTAATTTGAAAATAAAATACGCGTAGCGATTATAATGGCGCTTTAAATATCGCGTTGCGATTTACGGATTATCGTTGCGATTTACAGATTCTCGTTGCGATTTACGGATACGCGTTGCGATATACGGATACGCATTGCGATTTACCCATACGCGTTGCGATTTACGGATACACGTTACGATTTACGGATACGCGTTGCGATTTATGTGTTCGCGTTGCGATTTTCATATTCGCGTTGCGATTTTGGAAAATCGCAATGCGAATTTGTACTATCGCATTGCGATTTTCAATAATCGCGTTGCGATTTTGGAAACTGATTTGCGATTCTGGGGATCGCGTTGCGATTTTTATTTCGCGTTGCGATTTTGTTGGTCATTTTGGCAAATCCAAAAAAAATTGGTTAAAATCGTATATTATAACTTTTTTTTGGTCACTGAGGCGATTTTCTCTTATATTTAATTGAACATTTCCTTATCTGGGTCTTGTTTCTTTATTTTATTTATTTATTTCATTACAAGTTTGGTTTTGTTTCTTCTTCGTTGGTGGGGTTTCTTATCTCATTCATACCTAACCTCATAATCTAAAGTTTCCCCTTTTTTAAATTTTAATATATGATTAAAGAATAATATAATGAGGTATATTTGCTTTTGGGCTGGTATTTAATCATTTCGATACAAGGTCAAAACCTTTATTTTTCTTCTTCTCCCTTGGAACACAATTCTGAGGTTCATCTTTATATGGGGTTATCTGCTCAATTGGTGGATTTGATTTTAGAAATATTGATCTTTGCCGTTTCCTCTTGATGTCGTTCTCATGTATCAGGTACAGTGGAAAGCCTTGGAAGCTTTTCATATTCATTGATTTTCTTTTTCTCTATTAGATGATTCTTCAAATGATATAGTTCGACAACTTCTCTTAAAATTAATTATGTTATGATCCTCTTGATTTGCTTGTTTCTCATGATCCTGTTTGATGCCTGTTGTACCCAACTTAACAGTTTTATCTTGAAATTTGGTCATTGTAAGAAACTAGTTTGTATATTTGTTTGATAATTTCATTTTGGGTTCTGTTCCTCTTGGGGTTTATGATTTTTTTATCAACAGTGTGTTCTATTGCTATGTCTGCAGCTTCATAGATTATCTGCCTTTCTCTGTTATTTATGCATTAATGTTGTTACCAAATCATGGGCAAAATTGTTGTATTAAATCTGTTATCTCGCTTCTCGCCATCGTTGTTAAGATGTTTCAAGTCGGAGTGCAGAAATTCCATTGTCAAGTATGATCTTCGTTTAGATCATATTGGTTCACCTTTCACCATCCTCATTTGTGATCTTCTGGGTTGAACTTCAATAAGTGGATGGTCAGAAAGAACTAAACAGTTAAGGAATTCTGAGTTCCTAGTTATTTGAAATCTTATATATTACCTTACAACAAATAACAGATGATGTGGTCCAACTATTACATAGGGGGAACTTGTTTGTTGTTAACCTGACTTACCTTGATGCCGGTTATTAGTTAGATCGCACGGTTTATATCATGTTACTCATAAGCTATTTAAGTTAATAGCCAGTTTTACTTAGAGAGGCATTACTTTATTTCACGTCTTGCATCAGTATGCATATCAGTTCCTCCTACCACTATGAAATATGAGATAATCTACTGTTTAAGTTGTACTTGCATTATTCGTCAGGATTCAATTCGTAATACGACCACCCCGAGAGTCAAAACCATGTCTTTAGTAAGTTCAGCAGAACCGGCTATCACGGCATGTAGAAATACAAAGCTCTGTTCAGTTCAGGGTAGCGGTGATGGTTTTGGCTTGTCCACTCAAATGTTTGGTACTGATAAGCATAGGCCTGTATACCTTACTGATTCTTACAGCAGGGAGAGGGATGAAAAGTACTTTGATGACTCTCCTTTGGAAGATCTGACGCATCCATCTAGTTCTGAGGTTTCGAGAAGTTCGTTTCCCCTGCAGGATGTCTCTTCTGACCGGCTAAGAGGTACGTCAGTTTTCTCCATAACTGCTCAAAAACCATTGAATGCTTCTGTTTTCTTATTTCTATTTCTTTTATCAGATTACTTGGAAGTCCAAAGTGCAGATACATTTGATGCCGATACAGATAAGATGAAACTGATGCTTCAAGAACTGGAGAGGGATCTGGTTGCTGATAATGATGTTGATGTAGAAGATATGCTTGGCGCTGGTCTGAACATGGAAATAGATGGTGAATGGTCCGGTCCTATCAGGACAGAATCGATTCATGAGCCGCCCAAGGAATCATCATCCTTGGATTCTAATCTCAATCGCATCAGCAGCCACATAGAGGCATCACATGTTTCTTCTAGAACTCCTAAGCAAATGCTTATCGAGTGTGCTGCTATACTTGCAGAAGGCAACATTGAATTAGCTTCAGCCATAATAAATGAACTTCGCCAGCTGGTGTCGATTCAAGGAGATCCTCCTCAGAGAATAGCAGCATACATGGTTGAAGGTCTTGCTGCTCGCGTGGCTGCATCTGGAAAATATCTTTATAAAGCTTTAAAATGCAAAGAGCCTCCTTCTGATGATAGGCTTGCAGCCATGCAATTCTCTTTGAGGTGTGCCCTTGTTTTAAATTCGGATTTATGGCTGCAAATGGTGCAATTATAGAGGCATTTAAAGATGAAAAGAGAGTACATATAATAGACTTTGATATAAGTCAAGGTAGCCAATATATTACTCTAATTCAATCAGTTGCTAAGTTGCCTGGTAAACCACCTCACTTGAGGTTAACTGGGGTTGATGATCCTGAGTCAGTTCAACGTCTCAATGGAGGTCTTGAAATTATTGGACTAAGACTTGAGAAACTAGCTGAAGTACTTGGTGTGTCATTCGAGTTTCATGCGGTTGCCTCTAGGACTTCACTTGTTACTCCATCTATGCTGGATTGCCGACCCGGAGAAGCACTTTTAGTGAACTTTGCATTTCAGCTCCACCACATGCCTGATGAGAGTGTTTCAACCATAAATCAGCGAGACCAGCTTCTTCAGATGGTTAAGAGCTTAAATCCGAAACTTGTTACTGTTGTTGAGCAAGATGTGAACACAAACACATCTCCCTTTTTCCCGAGGTTTATTGAAGCCTATAGTTATTACTCCACCGTCTTCGAGTCCCTGGATGCTACACTTCCAAGGGAGAGTCAGGACAGGATGAATGTTGAAAGGCAGTGCTTGGCACGCGATATAGTAAACATTGTTGCGTGTGAGGGAGAGGAAAGAATAGAGCGGTATGAGGTTGCAGGAAAGTGGAGGGCGAGGATGACGATGGCCGGCTTCACATCTTATCCGATGAGTTCAAATGTGATCGACATGATCCGGAAGCTTATCAGTAAGTACTGTGACAGGTACAAGCTGGAGGAGGATTTAGGTGCACTTCATTTTGGTTGGGAAGGCAAAAGCTTGATTGTTGCTTCAGCATGGAGGTAAAATTATCTGGTTAATGTTACCGTTTTTCCGTACCTGGCCTTTTGATTCAGTTCTGTATGACGTTGTAACTATAATTGTGTAGGATCCAGATGCACTTATTTTTTGCTGATGTAAAATATCAGGGACTAGTAGGGACTACGTCCAACACGAACACATGATATTTACTCCCGTTTAAGGAACTTTTTTTTTAATACGATACAAGTCCGTTCCACGGTCTATTTTACAGTTGATTCATGTCCATTCTATGGTTTATGTTACAGTTGATTCATGTCCGTTTTATGGTTTCTATGGTTTATGTTACGGTTTAATCTGCCGCTGCCCAGTAAAGGGCCAAAAATGCCAACATATGCACCTAAGCCTAAGTTAATGCTCAATGGATGAGAAATTTGTGGTCAACCAACCATGTAAAAATTCACTAAATATTAAATGTTATCCACTTCAATTTCTTCTACTCTTCCCTGCACCTCACAATCACTAAGTCACAAGTTTTCTAAAACGACCCCAAGGGGAAAAAGTCACACCCCAAGACTCAAAAGTGAAGAGCTAAAGATGGCCCTGGAAAACCGTTTCCAGTTGAGGTCAGTTTGCAATACCAGAGCTACTGTGATACAGAGCAACCATTGTCTTTTTTCATCTGTTGAGAAGTCTCATTTGCCGACATTTCGAGGGTTGAACAAACACAATCTCTCATTCTCCTCATCTTTTGCTCAATCATTCAATGGCAGATGCCAAAAATCCAGGCTCATCTGCAAAGCTCGTGAAGCTGTTGATCAAGGTATGAGGCTATTTTTCTTAATTAAAGCTGTGCATGGTCTGATATAAGTTTATGCAAAGAAGATTTGTTTTGCCTGCAGTTGAAGCGGTGACAGAAGCAAACTGGAAAGAGCTTGTGTTGGGGAGTGAAGCTCCAGTTCTGGTGGAGTTTTGGGCACCATGGTGTGGACCCTGCCGCATGATCGAGCCGGTGATTGCCGACTTAGCAAAAGAGTACACTGGGAAGATAGCTTGTTACAAGCTCAACACCGATGAAAGCCCCAACATTGCCACACAGTTTGGGATCAGGAGCATTCCCACCATGCTGTTTTTCAAGAATGGGGAGAAGAAAGAGAGCATCATCGGTGCAGTGCCCAAGTCTACCTTGGCTGCTAGCATTGACAAATATATTGATACTTGAAACAGATAAATGGTAAGGGAACTATGTTCATGCACTGCTAGTTTTTACATTTGATTCATTCAACTTACCTACCTACGAGCATTTTCTTTTTTAGTTATGATGTAAATATTACTGGTGTAACAAATATCCTTTCACTTTATCATCCACAATGCCAATGCTCTATAACATACCTATCTATAATCTGTAATATATAAAGAATGGGTCTAGGTCATGCAAAGTATCTTATATTGTCTGGAAACTAGCCTTTTTAAAACGTTTATATGGTATAAATAAAAAAAAAACGATTATATAGTGGCATTTTTCTAATCTAACATCACTTTGGGCATCTATCATGTCTTTACGGAAATCCTTTTTCTTCTTCAGAAGCATCACTCATCTTCCTATGATGCGAATGTCGCTTCATCGAAATCCCCGTCAGTTGCCATTGAAAGAGAAGTGGTCGGCACATGAAATAGGTAACGAAGATTATCTCAAAAAAGTTTTAGGAACCCCCATGATCTTAATGAGTAGGCAATGGGTTATTAATTCTGAGGTTGACGCTGTGGCACCTACTTGAAACTTATTCTTACCTCATAGAATAGAATCTTATTCTGCCAAATAACGTTTGATCTGTTCTAGTTATCACTGCTTCCTTCAGCATTTTCTGAAATACAAGGATTGAATTTGTTTAAAATAAATGAACCCAATTCCAAACAAAATACTAGTAAAAACCAATTCAACTCTCCCCAAATTTTCCACTATGAAGTTTCAGGCACTCTTTTTCTCCTTCCGCACTCTTTTCCTCCTTCCGCTGATTAAGGAGCACCTTGTGATCCTTTAATCATGAAGGGGGTTTTAACGAGGCCTACCATTCCTATAAAAAAAAATCCACTATGACTAATATGCATAAGTACAAAAATGATATTTTTTCTCCAGAAAATTAGCACAACACATTAACTTATAGCCAGCTTAAATAAATTGAACAATTTCAGCTGAACTCAGAGACAGATATTCAGCATCCAATATATCAGAAAACAATGGTACCAAAGAAAAATCATTCTATCAACAACTGTAAACTAACCAAACAAGAAAATTCCCCCCATAAATGATACTATTTAAAAAATTTCAAACATTAGTCTACTAATGCAACGCCGAATATAGTAGTGCTAATTTGCTATATGTAAAATGTATAAGATTTAGCTAACAATTTCTAGAGCTTCATTAACTTAGATACAACCAAACTATTGAGTTGAACAAGCTCTAACTTCCACAAAGGTTGAAACATTCTTCCCTCATTCGAAGCTTTCTCATATGTGAAGTAAAAGCCAACGCCATCCTTTCTTTTCTATAATCTCAATCAATTCAAATCAATGTTGTCTATCTGTCTCTCTCTCTATATATATACGCACACACATACATATAAACATGTATACATATATATATATATTCAAAATAACCATAGAAAAGTGTTCTCCCCTGAAACTTTTAAAAATCAAAGCAGAAATCAAAATGTAGGATAATAAACTGATAACAAAAGAAAAGGAGTGAATGAAATTCAAAAATAGAGATGGGAAAAAAAACTATACAGATTACAGAACCCTCTCTCAAGTATAAAACATGATATCATCTATAATTGATCGAAAGGAAACATGAATTAACATCATGTGATGGAATTATCAGTTCTATTAACACTCACATAAACAAGAAATTCAACTATCCCATTTGCAATTCCATCCATACTATCAGGAAAACAATCTCACAAGAATTTGACATTGCATACCCATATAAATTTAATAAAAACCAAAGACTACAAGATAGAATTCCGAAGACACCCTGTCTCTTAATTCAAAGATATCCAAGCCGATTTTGTTTATTTCTGAACCAATACTATTTTATTAATAGCAAGCAATTAGAGTTTATGAACAAAGAACAAAGACCCATCCTTCAATAATCAAATAGCTGTGTTAAGAATCAAAGAAGAATCCTTAAAATGACACATATCAATGATGTCAAGCATCTATCTATCATTTTGATAAGAGCTACAAGATCAATACTCGTTTCTGTAGGACTCTTTTCCCTACAAAAGTAAACCTCTGTCGCATCATCGCCTTTGTTTGTAGGAATCCCATCTAAAACTTTTGCTTCAAAAATCTTGGTATTATTTTCATGTGTCCTCCCCTCAAAGGTTAAATAATATAAAATACCTCTACAACATTGGTTATTTGCTTTATACAGTCTCAAAAATTCATAATTTGTTTTCTGTAAAAAAAAGCATTCGACCATCATTGTTATCATAATCGTTCAAAATATAAAAAATACAAGAAAACAAAACACATACTAACCTTATCCTAGTTGTAGTGATACATGGCAGCAAGACAATAGTGCTTATTGGAATAGTTAGATGCACGTGAGTTGTTAAGCTGTTAGAGGTGCTGTTAAGGTGGTTAGCTGAGCAGTTAGAGTTAGGTATACAGTTAGATTAGTTGTGAAGCTACTATAAAACCAATGTACTTGTAGTTCAGAAAAGTGAAGAAAGAAAATCATTACTCTTCCATTTCTTTTATGTTTGTTCCAGTTTTCCAATATGATATCTTTCGTTAAAACTCTTGGGGAAGTTTTCTTTTCTTTCGTTGCGCAGAGTTTCTCCTCCGCCTAAAGTGTTTTTTCTTTTGTTGTTTTCCATGTTGAATGGTGGTGGTTCTGCTCCGTTGGTGGAATTCTCTGCAAGAAATGCCAAAGCATTCTCTAATAAAAAGGAGAATGTGATTCTCTGCAATAAATGACAAATGTTCTTCTTTGCATGCAGCAAGTTCTGCTAACGGTGCGCAGTCATCATCTTGAGAGGTTTTTGATGGGTACGATGAGGACTCTGCCTGAAATCGTGGTCAGTGACGATAGTGAAGTCATACCGAATGATTTGTATGAAGATTTTATGGCTCAAGACAGTGCTATTGCATCCTAGTTACTTTCCAAAATCAATCCTCAACTCCTGCCTCAGTTTGTGGGTGAAGAAACAACATCGGCGGTTTGGAGTACGGTGATCCAATTCTTTGGAAATCGGTCCAAGACGACTGTTATTAGCTTTCACTATAAGATGCAGTCTCTCAAGAAAGGTGATGATTCGATGAGGGTGTATCTCACTAGTGTAAAATAGGCTTGTGATGCTTTGGCATCGTGTGGCAGCGTGGTTTCACAGACTGAGCATGTTGCGAGTATATTGAAGGGTCTTCCTCGTGAGTATCAACCGTTTGTGGCAGTTATAACTACCACACGAGAATCTCTTACTCTTGATGCAGTATACACCATGCTAATGGATGCAGAAACGCATTTAGCTGGCTTTGGTGATCAACTTGATTCATTGTCGATGAGTGCAAATGTTACCCTAGGTATGGGCTCAGGTAAATCCACTAACTCTAGTTACCACTATGATCATAAGTCTTCTTGATCATCGGCTAATTCTGGTGGGTGGTCTGGTGGAAGAGACCGAGATAGTGGTCGGCTAATGTAGTGTCAACTTTGTGGTAAAAATGGCATCTTGTAGATAGTTGTTGGTATAAGTTTGATGAAGATTTTCCTGGTGTTACAGCTGGTAGTAAATCGTATTCTAAAGTCAATCCAAGAATATGTATTATTCCATGTGCGAAATCAAAAGTATTGATTGTGAATGTTGTTATGCTCAGAGCAGTGGGTCTCAGGTAAACTCATGTCCTCAAGCACTTGTTTCAACATCAGCTCATGAATGGTGGGTGGTAGATTCTAGTGCCACGCATCATGTTACACCAGATGGAGCAAATCTTGGTCATAAGGTTGACTATAATAGCCTAGGTAAACTTGTTGTTGGTGATGAGGTTGTTTTAGATATTAAGTCAGTTGGTAATGCCACTTTGTGCTCCTCCTCTCGAGCTTTATTATTAAATGATTTATTACATGTGCCAAGAATAACCAAGAATTTTCTATCTGTTTCAAAAGCTTGCTAGGGATAACAATGCTTTCTTTGAGTTTCATGTGCATGAATGTTGTGTTCGTGGTGAAGACTCTGATGTTGTTCTTCTTCGTGGGAGAGATGAAGGTGGCCTGTACACTTTTGCTGATGACCCTAAAATGAAAGCTCTTACGATCGTAGAAGCTAACTCTATGACTGAATCTCTTGGCACCTATGAGCTTTGGCATCGACAGTTGGGGCACCCTCACATGATAGTTTAATCAAAATTTTTTAAAGAAATGAATGTAAATGTTTCAAATGCTATGAATAAAATGTGTGTTGCTTGTCACATGAGAAAAAGTCACAAATTGCCTTTTCAGAGTCAAGTATTGTGTATGATACTCATTTCCATCTTGTGTTTACAGATCTATGGGGACATGCATTAATTGTTTCGAATGGTTTTAAGTATTACGTTACCTTTGTTGATGCTTGCACCAGGAATACGTGGCTTTATCTTTTGAAGGATAGGCAGAAGCCATTACAGCGTTTGGGTTGTTTCAGCAAATGGTCAAGAATCAGTTTAACTTACCCGTCAAAGCAATCCAAAGTGACTAGGGATGAGAATATAAGCGTTTATCCAATTGTTTTATCAAAGAAGGTATTTCTCATCGCATCACTTACCCTCACACTTCGGAGCAAAACGGTGTAGCAGAGCGTAATCATCGACATATCATTGAGCTTGCACTTGTTCTTCTTGCTCAAGCATCCATGCCACTTCGCTTTTGGTCATATGCAGTTGTAACTGCAGTTCATCTAATTAACCGATTGCCAACAAAGGTGTTGCAAGGAGTGTCACCATTTGAGAAGTTCTTCAGCAAGAGACCAAAATATGGGTTGTTGAAGGTGTTTGGATGTCGGTGTTTTCCACATCTATGACCATTTTTGAAGCACAAGCTTGAGTTTCAATCACAGTCATGTACTTTTCTTGGATACAATCCTCATCACCAAGGGTTTCAGTGACTCGCTCCTGATGGTCATATATATGTATCACGACATGTGGTGTTTGATGAGATGAATTTTCCTTTTGCAGATGTTGCTTATGCAGGAACTTCATCTAGCAAAGTTGGCCAACAACCGTAGTCCCTAGAAGTTTTTATGGATGTAGAAAAGTTTAGAAGATGTGATG